AAATATAAAGCGACTTTTGGGATTGGCCAGTGTTTCTCAAATCTACATAGATAGATTTTACTGAGAATCCGCCAGACACCAAAAGTTTCTAGTGCAGGCTATTTGGCTCATTAGAAGGTTGACCTCCATAACCTATGCACAAGATGTAGCCATCTATCCCACCGTTCCGCAACCAATACCCGCTTGAACTGGATATTTAAGGCGACATAACATAGCATTGTACTTGTGTAATCATCTTTGCATTGTACAATATTGTATAGTGTTGGGTAAAGGCTAACAACGTCTCCCCTAGCTAGGTATCTTCCCAGAATCTAGTAGTGCTTCTGTTCCCTACTATGAATTTACTCCTATCGAAGAACGCGACCTTTGTCCTCATGAGGCCCTTCAAATAGGAGACTCATTCAGCTGTGCTGTGACTTGAGCCAGGCTTTTGAATGTAAATACTTGTTATGCAATAATTGTACCCACACACCATCCTCCTCTACAGATAACCTATATAACCATTTACTGAGTAAGCACATGTTCTTTACATAAAGGTTTTTGATACCTAAAACCCATTTATCTGTCAGCCCACAAAGTACTACCACCGTCCCATAATATCAGAGTGTTTTCAACACTCACTAGTGTCAAAAATGTTCTTATATTATAGGATGGAGGAAGTATGTCCCACTAAGCTAATTTGTACTTTGATTTATTATTCTCATCACTTTGCTGAAAAAAACATGGTCGATAGAAGTCCAACCTTTTTCGTATTCTCACGGGTACTTCACAGAATGATAATAGGAACATTAGCATGCTTGTAAGCATGGAATTTATTAGAACTAGCCGGCCCCTAAAAGACATAAACTTACTCTTCCAACAACTTAGCTTCCCAAATCGATCTTCCATGCACTTCCATTCTTTGTTGGTTAAGTTATGGTGATGAATTGGGATTCCCAGGTTACTAAATGGTAGAGATACTAGCTCACAATCGAAAAACTGTCTATAATTATCTTGTTCCTCTTTGCCGTGCCCAAAGCAGAACAATTCACTCTTATCGAAATTTATTTTCAAACCAGATAGTTCTTCAAGAAGACATAAAACCAGTTTCATATTCGTAGCTTTTGCCCTATCATGTTACATGAAAATAATTTTATCATCCACGTATTGTAGTATGGACACCCCACCATCCATGATGAGCACATACCTGTCAGTCCTCCCTGGCTCTAGCAATGAGGACCGCCAACATATCAGCAACATCATTAAACATGATAGGAGACATCGGATCCCCCTATCTCAATCATTTTACGTCTAGAGATAATGACCTATGTCGTCATTAACCTTGATCCCTACACTGTCCGTTTGTACAAAGGATTCAACCTAGTTCCTCCAGGCTGCATCAGAACCCTCCGTACGTAAGGCTTGTTGCAGAATAGCTACTTAACTTTATCATAAGCCTTCTCAAATCCACTTTGAAGATAAATCCAAGAAGTTTCTTCCAGTGAATTTCATGCAAGCTTTCATGCAATATGACCACGCCCTCCAGATGTCGTCCAGGCATGAAAGCCGTCTGAATCGGCTGCACTGCATTATGCGCAATATGTGTGAGGCGATTAGTATCAACTTTGGAAAATATCTTAAAGCTAGCATTATGCTGACAGATCGGTCTGTACTGCTCAATGCGCATCGCCTCCTCGTTCTTTGGCAATAACGTAATTGGCCAAAGTTTAGTTTTAATAATTTAAGTTGGCTATTAAAAAGATCATGGAACATAGGCATCAGGTCCCCTTTAATAATATCCCAACACCTCCTATAAAATTCCGCTAGAAAGCCACCCGGGCTAGGTGCCTTATTAGTCTTCATTTGTGCTATTGCCTCGAACACCTTCTTTTATGAGAAAGGAGCAATTAGCACCTCATTCTCATCGGCGCCCAATTGAAATATATCCCCAACCACATTCTCATCGAGTGAAACAAAATTCTCAACTGGTGCCCCAAAGAGCTTTAAAAAAATTGAGATATACAATTTAATGTTCTTGTGCCCTACAATTGTACCTACATCCTGTTCAAGTTCGATAACTTTATTTCTCTTGTGTTTTCCATTCGCAATCATATGGAAAAATTGGGTATTATTATCCCCTTGAACCATCTGTCAATATTTAGCTCAGAGTGCCAATTTTATCTCGTCTTCTCTAAGAAGCTTTGCTAGCTTCTCCTCAACTTCCCGTTTGGCTACACTGTCAGTCACATCGATCATACTGACCTCGGCTTTTGAATCTAGGTTGTTAATGAGATCAAGAAGCCTTTCTTTTTCCACTTTATATATGCCACTCTCATTTTTTTGCCTAGCCCGACAAGAGCTGTCATAAGTGCCTAATTATATACTGCTATCTTTCCATGTTTGATTCTCCTCTGTTCTCTTTCGCCCACTCCCTGGCTATCAAATCTAGGAATCCCTCGCTTTCAAACCACGATTGTTCAAAGTAGAAAATTTTCTTGTTTCCCATTTGTAAAGCTCGCACCATTACCAAATGAAACTTTTGTTTCCATTCGACATTGGTTGGAACTCGATCCAATTTCCTTAAGTTGGATTTCTCATATTGTTCGCCCAAGTGTATTGCGTGCCTATGAGATCAATCTCTCTCAAGTCCATACTATAAATGATGGAGCTAAACATAAAGGACCACCTCCCATCAAAATTATCATTATTCTTTTCTTCTCTGTGCCTAATAATATTAAAGTCTCCACCGACCAAAATATGTAACCTCTCATCCCCGCTAAGCCTTGGCCCAACTAAGCGACGGCATCACTCCGGTCGGGTGCCTTTTGGGCTGGCTCAAGCGCTCGTGGATTTGGAATAAGTTCATAGATTCATAAAAGGTCCCCATTTTGAAAATTTATTCCAAATTCTAAAAATGTTCCTTTAAAAAATTGTTCACAAATTCACAAAATGTTTGGGGAGTTTAAAATAATGTTTACGCTTTCAAAATTATCTAGAATTTCAAAAGTATGTTTCCAAAAAATTCTACACAAATATTTAAAAATGTTCTAGGAAATTAGAAAAAATACTTTGTTCGTATTTCTCTGAAATGTTTTTGAATGTCCAAACTCGTCTGGCTAGTGCCAAGGGGATATCAATGGGAGTTACAAGCTTTGATCACTTACACTACCGCACGCACAGGCGAACCCCCCGAGGCGAGAAACGGGCCGGGCCACTCCACCACAGCATGCATCTGGTGTTTTTCTTTTACCAAAGTTTGGTTCTATTTTGCGTTTTTTATTTCTATTTATTTTTTCTTTCATTTTTTTGTTTTATTTTTGTTTTCTCCTTTTAGTTTCTTTTTTATTTTCAGTTTATTTTTAGTTTTTAAAAAGATATTCACAAATTTTAAAAATATTATTTCTTTACAAAAATTCAAAAACAGTTCGTTTTTTTTCAAAAATTGTTGATAAATTCAAGGTTTTTTTTTCAAAAGTTGTTCCTGTTCGTATATTTCTCAAAAGCTCAAAAAATCTTTGTACTTTTGAAAATTTCTTCAGATCTTCCAAAAAATGTTTGTGTTTATGACAAAAATGTTCTTGCATTCCAAAGATTGTCCATGTTCTCACGAAATTTTAATATTTTGAAAAATGTTCTCATTTCAATGAATTATTTGAAAATACAGAAAATGTTCCGAATATCAATTTTTTGTTCACATTGTCAAAATTTGTTCCCATTTTTAGAAAAAAGGTTAATGTTCCAAAAAAGAGTTTATATATTTAAAAATATATTCTGAATTTTAAAAAAATGTTAAAACTGTAAAAACTGTTTGGGGATTTGAAAATTTGTTCTCGTGTTCAAAAAAGTTTGGAATTCCAATTTTTTTGACATTTATGTTTTTTGGAATTTAAAAACTGTTTTGTAAAACTGTGCACATAAGTTTTTGGACTTTGTAGGTTAGTATGAATGTTTTGCATACAGTGATGCTCTATTTTCAATGATGATACATAACAGGTACCAGGAAACAGAGGGAGCTGGCGTTGGAGAATCCTTGGCTCCAAAAGAGGCAGAGATAAGCCCAGAAAAAATGGAGATTGTTAGAAGGAATAGAGAGGGATTTGGTGGAATCATTCGTTGTATTGCTTGAGCCTCGTGGGCATATATATATATATATATATATATATATATATATATATATATATATATATATATAAGTACATGATTTACTTGGAGTACAAGACTAGCCGGAATACTTGCTAGTCTATCTATGTTTCCAATACAATCATGTTATTCATCATCTCTCCGTAGTCACAACGGTGGCGACGCGGACGGTGAGACTGGAGAAGAATCCGAAGGCAAGCCAAGATCTATACTTCCTAGTCTAGCTATGTTTCCAATACAATCACTTTACTCAACAGAGATGACGGATGAGCAGAGGCCGAGCATGGACGGTAACCGGCTCAATGCATTGGAGAGAGCAGCAGCAGCACGGATAAAGGCATGAAAAGTTTTTGTTCTCCATATGAAGCTGCTTGTGGCTCTCGATTGCGGTATTATGACATGATAAAGGAAGCCTGCATATTGGTACGAGGCTCTAGAATTTGATGATTATACTCATCAGGTTCTAAAAATGGTTCATATATTTGCACAGAACGACAACAAATACACCCTTGATTTTTGTACAGTGCACAAGATGCAGAGGCCGGGGGTCATCCTCCTTTTCTAAAAAAAACAAGCATGCATGGTACAAGGAACGCTACCTCACTCTTACTCTGGCCGGATGCTCAGGATTAGTTCAGCAACACAAGAAAAGAAACTCAAAAGAATGTAGTCGATGAGGAAAGAACATCAATATAAATGGACTTGTTTTCTTTTGCGTTTATTTGATATACATAAATGACGGACTTACAACAGAAAAACCTGAACGCATAGAGATTCAGTTCAGAGAAAACAAATAATGCGTAGCAACAATGAAACTAAACACAGTAATTGTTTCCCCCAAGAACATTTGAAAGCACAAAGCAGAAGGGGAACTCGTTCAATCAGTTCTCTTCTTGGACTAATATCTCGCCCAGCTGGTCTCTGATGGTCTGTGGCACCTTGATGGCATCATTGAGTTTGAGCTGGATGAGGTTCGGACGGACCTTGCGAAGAAGAAGAGGATCTGTCGTCGGGTAGGCGATGTCGTCCCACTTGACAGTTCCATTCAGCACCATGGTCTGGAGACGTCGAAGGCCTGGCTCGGTGAAGACGCATGAGGGGATCTCATCACCTTGCAGTTTTAGGTGCTCAAGTAGATGCATCTTATGCAGAGCAGCCCCGAGGGCAGGCCCTCCGTGTGTCGCATATTGGAAACTATGCATGTCCAGCGAGCTTAAGTTTGTCATCCTGTCCAATGGACAACTCCTTATGCCCCACTCACCTTCCGATCCTGGGGCGGCGGGCTTTACGCCGTGGAGTGTCTGTAGCTCGCCACCTTCCTCATCATCTTCTTCCCCACCTGCTGGCATAGTCATTGTTGTTGGAAGTGTGAGGCTCTTAGCAAGCACATGCCGCAACGTCTTGATCTTCCAGAAATCCCGATGAATCTCCTCAACCTGGGTGTTGCTTACATCAAGTGTCTGCAAATTGGGAAGCCTACCGATGCCCGGTGGGAGGTAGCATAGGTCGGGGCAGTCGATGCATAGATACCGCAAGTGGATCATGTCACCAAGCTCATCTGGCACCTCCTTAAGCCTCAACCCCTTCACAGAGACTACACGAAGGAATTTAGACCAACGAAGAAACTTGAGACCTTCATGCAAAGACTTGTTTCCTGTACACCTCCATTGGGCCTCTGCTTCTTTGTGCTTATTCTCATTGATGTGACATATGAAGGAACGCAGCTTCATGAATTTCTGGTGGGTGGAGTACATTGCATTGTTGTCACTCTCAATAAATATGCGGCGCACCAGAGGCGGCACAAGGACATCATCTGTGACATTGTGGACGATATCCATAAAGCTAACCTCGACGACCTCTGACCGTAGCAGCCCCAGGATGCTTCTGTGAACCCTCACACGCATGATGCCACCACCAGGTTTTGTCTCCTTTAGCTCAACAAGACATCTCAAGACAAGTTCTTTGAGGTAGTCATGTCCCACATCCTCCAGCGACTTCCCATGGAGCAGCCTCTTGTTGTTGATGAAGCCTTCCGCTATCCACATCCGAATGATCTCATCGGCATGTTGGCATTTATCCTCAGGGTAGCCGGCGAGGTAGAGGTAGCATGACTTGAGGTCTTCAGGGAGGTCCTCAAAGCTTGCCCAGAAGATGGTTTCCATCGCCCTTCTTGTGTTGCACATTTGGTGCTGGTAGTAGCTGTTCCTTGAAGTACCGAGTTCCTGCAGCACTTCATCCCACTGGACCGGCCTCTCCTTGAACCGGAGAAGTCCGGCTAGAAGCACAATTGCCATGGGATATCCTCTAGTCACCTCGTGCATAGTTCTCTTGCAATTTTCATATCTGTACTTCTCATCGTCCTCTTCCACACCAACTTGGTCATGTCGGAAGATGGCTCTATAATTATCTCGATCCTCCTCCTTATTCCATCCCTTTTTGTGGGATGGATCATAATTATCTCGATCATCCTTCTTCTCCTCCTGCTCCTCCTCATTTTTGTCCACCTCATGGGAAGACCCATAATTATCTCGAGCCTCCTCCTCCTTCTGATTGCTACCCTTCTCATAGATCGATGACGATGAGTCATGTTGCCCTTTCCTAAGAACTTTCCAAGAGAATAACTGCCAACTTCTAGCTCGGTCCAAACAGGTCAGCATGTGTACCCCATTATTGCCATCTTTGTTCATGGTATTTGCATGCCAAGCAACTTCTTCATTTTCAGTGTCCAATATTAGCACCACACGACTGCCATTATTATTGTCATCCGGTAGGCTCGCCCTCAGATGGTTTAGGGTGGTTTTGGAGGATATCCCACCCAAAATCAATATGTAACTCTTCCCAGCTAGGAGGTGACTAAGCTTATCTTCCACTTCTCCTTCATCTTCATGATAGTGATCTGCCAATTGTCCCAATGCGATTTGGTACACATGGGTAAGAAGATCTCCCATGCTGGAGCCAGGTTGCATGTCATACCTGATTAAAACATCTGTATTTGAACATATGGCATCATGCAAAACTTTTTTTATGAGTGTGTTCTTTCCGGCACCACTCTCCCCAACTATGGAGATGAACATTCGGTGGAGACTATCCTTGTCTTTATGGACCAACATCCTCTTAAGAACCTCCATGTCCTTGTCAAACCCCATGGCGTTCTCCAGGTCATCCCTCCTGTTCATTGAGTATACAAATATAATTAATGTATGTTATTAGTGCCCATATATTTTTCCTTAATTTAATTAATATTTATGCCTTATAAACATAGATCTTTTCAATAAAACATGTATATACAAACAATGTAATAAATAATAGAAAGCCTAATTCAATTCAAATCCACAAGATCTTAAACCCAAATATTCGCATTAAATTAGAACTTTCTACTAAAAAAATTGGAGGGTCAACTCAGAAATTTGCATTAGCAATCCTAATAGGACCATTAAATACGTTCTTATTGTGAGTAATTATTGAATTGATATCTAAATTATATACTCCTTGATGCATTGCTAACATGTTCTTGATGCATTGCTAACATGTTCGGTAATTGATAAAGGGGAGTCAAAAAATCCGAGTGCTTTTACCCTAGTTGGCGTTTGGATCTATGTAGGTCAGTACGGATTTCTAGAAATGTTGTGAGAAGAGAAAATTTAATTAGCCAACTAAAAAAGAGAAAAAAACTCATGTATAGGCTATATACTCGTGAGCACACTGCCTCTGGGCCTAATATGTGCATCTGTCAATGGAGGACCACGAGCTTGTGAAGGTGAAATAGACCTTTTACCTAGCATGGGTGACATCATCACATTTGTCTAACAGCGTCTTGAGAGCTTTCACAAAGTTAATTTATTTCCATCTCTCCTTTTGTTGCACTTTATGTTGCTACATGGTCGTCCCTAAGGTAGTATATGGTATGGATTTGTAATAAGCTGGTTGTGTGCATTCTGGATAGTGAGTATCTACTTGAAGTCTCCTATATAGTTCTTATAAAATACAATGCTTGATGAATGTCTGAAGTGACACTCACTACCACATGGTACAAAAATCTTGGGTAGGCACCATGTTAACGGCTAAAGATTTAGCCATATCCGTGAAACCATCCACAAACTAATTTTAGAGGAGTATTGTTCCTATTTTGTAGTTCATGGTCTAATTGACTCATTTTGAATTGAAGGATTATTCTCAAATAGTTCTATGTTAGCTAAAATTTCAGTTTTGCTAGGTAAATGCAACTTCTAGTTGTAAAATTAAGTGGTAACTGTTTGTACCAACATGCAACAATGATTATACATGGTGCATCTACTAGTTTGCAAACTTTGGTGAAACGCCACATAGTCTATTTTTTATTTGCTCTTTCTTATTTTAAAATTTAGGAAACACCATGTACAATTGAAAACACGGGGGCACGTACCACGCTGCAATGGCTGTGGTGGAAGATGCCAGTATCACTGATGGTGTTTGCTCAACCATGTAGTTCATTTGCTGATCCAAGATGTTTTGTAGCGTGCTCATGATGCTTGTGATTTGACCACACAACCTACGGCGAACCATGATCCGGGCAAAGAAGCCAATGAAGTATCTTACTTGTGTTCTTGAGTTCCGGCAACCTTGACTTTTTAAGGCAACCTGTTATTAACCAGGGAGAAAAGCAATGCATGAGTAAAAACAAAAACTCTGTAGTGTATGCCTCTTCGTAAAGAGTAAATTTTATTCGCTCTCCTCATCAACAAATAATTAGGCTGCTCTTGGATTGCCGTTTTGCAGCGAATTTCATGCGTAAGATAAACTCCCTCTGTTCCTAAATATTTATCTTTCTGAATCTACACTTTAAAATATGTCTATATACGTTCGTATGTGGTAGTCCATTTAAAATCTCTAAAAAGACAAATATTTAGAAACGGAGGGAGTACACTCATAAAATAATTAGGTGCGGCTGGGAAACAACTACTCCCTCCGTCCGAAAATATTTGTCATCAAAATGGATAAAGAGAGATGTATCTAGAACTAAAATACATCTAGATACATCCCCTTTTATCATTTTGATGACAAGTATTTCCGGACGGATGGAGTACTTGGTTGGTCGTTCAGACAAAAAAAATCAGACAATTTTTTTCAGATTCACCCGGAAAAAATAAACGCGCCTTCCACCCTCGTTTTTTTTCATTCAGATTTTACGAGTGTCCAGTTTAATATGGGATGAAAATTTGTTTTTTTTCTTATTTGCAAGGAGGAACCGAGTAGGCACTCCATTTCAAGCCATTCAAAGTTCTTTATTCTAAATTGAATTTTCTTTATGTTTGACCAAGTCTTTGAGATATATATATATATATATATATATATATATATATATATATATATATATATATAGGTAAATTGTTTGCAGAATATTCCCGCAAAAAAACATCTGCAGAATTAATTTATTAGATTCATACAAAAAAATACATTTTCGTACACTATGTAATTGATGTATAAATACTATTTCCTCCGTTTCTAAATATAGGGCAGTTAGAGATTTCAATACGGACTACATACGACGTATGTAGACATATTTTAAAGTGTAGATTCACTCATTCTGTTCAGTATGTAGTCTATATTGGAATATCTAGAAGGGCTTGTATTTAGAAGCGAAGGGAGTACTTGTAGCATATTTTTTCTATAGATTTTGCCAAATATAGAGAAGTATGGCATATAACAAGGCTAGAACTACAAATAAACGAGGGGTGGGGAGGAGAGGGAGAGGGGGTGGGAGGTACCTGGTGCTGGAACATCACGTCATCTAGCGCGTCCTCGGCACCGAAGGCACTGTCGCGCATTTGGCGGCCCAAGACGCGGGACTGCCCCTCGCGGCGACCGGCCCGGTTGGCGTCATTGGTGCGGATGATCGCCTGCAGCAACCTGATCCGGTCGCGCAGCAGCGCCACCTCGTCGCCGACCCGACACAGCTCCTCGTCCTCGTGCGCCGCCAGCTTCTCCATTAGCGCCGCCATGGATGAGTTAGCTAGCTACCTACCTTGCTCCCCGTAGCTAATGAGGGGGGGATATAGTAAGAGCTTAATGAGCTAGTGCCTTGCTCGGCACGTCGGTCAGGCATCGACCGACTAACCACGAGCCAGCACATGCAAAGTCTAGCTAGTTCCTTTTGTATATATATGTATAGTGGGCAAAAACAAAGTGCAACTGGCTAGAGGGAGCGTACTGTTCACGCTAGCTACCCGTTGAGAATGGCCACTACCCCATGTTGTGGACACCAACTAGCTACTTACTAATTAACGATCCATTAATTACACTCACTTGTCCAGTTGTGAGGATTTGAAGGAAGAATCTTCCAACAAAGGATTGGAAGAGAATTGATTCTTGATTTCTTCTAGGTTGTGCAGTACTTTGTTTACTAAAGGTGCCAGTTAAACTGTGTATCAATTCCAGATATACCTCAGTGGTAATCTCTCTAGTAATTCAAGCTACTTTTTAAATTTTAAATACAAAGATTTGACTGCGAAAATAGCCAAATGAAAATGCCGTTCTAGGTGCATATATGATTTTTTAAAATATATAAAATAAAAAATTCCAAAAAACATTTGTTATGAATATGGCCGACAATTCTACTTGCATATGAAGTTTCGCAATGAAGTGACTTATGGTGTCTTCCGTGCGAATGATCGCAAAATTGGATCTCTATAGAAGTTATTATTCAAGGGTTTTGAAGTTGTGGTTTTTTTTGCCCAAAAAACATCAATGCCATTTCTTCGTGAAACATCATACGTGAGTAGAATACTCCGCTATGTTTGCCACGAAAAGTTCTGTATTTTCCTGATTTTTTCTAAAATTTGAAAAACTGGAAGTCTATTTAGGGTGCGCCTAAACCCAGGAACCAAAAATCTGCTTCTCGATTTGACTAATACTATGATTTTCTCTAATTCAACTATTCATTATAAACATCTTCATTTACACAGGCGTATAGCTTGTTTCATGGGCCTAGCCAAACCTAGCCCAATGTCAAGGCTGTTATCTACACACTCTTTGTCTTACAGAATTTGTCTCATATATAGTGGAGAAGAGTGACTTCTCCCACCTCCATATCCGGTGGAGGCCTTTGCGAGCGTCACCTGCCTCTGCCCTGACAACAATGCAACATGTGCATCTTCTTAGAGGTTGTGTTTGGTGCACTGTCTCCGCCTCTTCGTTTTGCCGTTGTCATCATCCACTCTGGTTCAAACAAGGAGTATGCGCAAAAGACTCATTCAGCAAAGAATGGTGGAACAAGGGAGGACCGGCGGAGCAGGAGGAGGGCGTGAAGATGGGAGAGTTATGCATCCCACGAATATGGACTATATAGGGAGGGAGGGTTGGCAATATTTAAATGCTTCAAGTTAAGTAAAAAATAGAAGTACTTCAAATATATTTTGTAGTGGTCATTTTGATTTTTGTTTTCGTAACAATATGTTTATAGACTTTTGTTGGGCTTCCAAGCACAAAGTATGCAATTGTTTCTTTTTTGCCGCCCTTGTGAGTTCACCAGATGACAGATAGATATTGTAAGGTAGGATGAGAATCTACTACTAGATTCCTTGAGCTGTAATATTTACACGTGGGAATTGAATATTCAGCGGAAAATTTTGCTTGCATAGTTTCCATGTCATGCTTTTACAAGGCCGAAGAACAATTCTTCATTTGCTATTGGCGACGTGGATCTGAGCAAAGACCCACAATGCTTCCACCGAGTTTGGTTAAAATTGTATATATATACTTCCTCAATTCCTTTATATAAGGTGTACTTTTGGGGGCATGGTGATCAAGGCACATAATTGAGAAGAATTTTGGAAAAAAATACCCTTAACTAATTAGGTAGTTAGTAGCTTAATTAGCGGCAACTAAATAACCAGCACAAATAAAAGGCAACTAAATCTCGCAGCACAAAAATAAAATCAATTGATGGGATGGAAGAGAGAGAGAGAGAGAGAGAGAGAGAGAGAGAGAGAGAGAGAGAGAGAGAGAGAGAGAGATGAGTGCATGAAATCAGGGAGGAAGATTATTTTTTACTACTTTCCTATTGGGAACTGTGTAGTACTTTTTACTATGGCTGTAATAGATTGTGGAAGGGCGCGCATGGAAAATTGAGAGGAAAAGGGAGATACACCTTACATTGTAGAATTTTGGGGAAAAACAAATACATCTTATATAAAGGAACGGAGGGAATACAATATACTTTCTTTGTGCTTGTGCTTGTAATATGTTTTTGCCCTAATTGATGAGATATTTATTCTTTTGCTTTACAGTTCTTGGTGTGAAACAATGAATTGGGATAAGAGAGTTTTTTTATTTATAAATGTTCTTAAGATAATTTGCAACATATAACTATTAAATTGAAATTTTTACAAGAAACATTTTCATGGTATCTACTTCGAACTTTTATGATTTAGTTAATACATGTGTTTTTTGCGAGCAATACGTGCATTTGCATGTAGAGATATACTAGTACCATAATTAGTATTTATTGAACAAACAAGCCAAAATTAAAAAGCGCAAATGTATCAATCGACTTTGTTGAGTAAAGAGGGAACTGCATTACTGGTACAACAACTTGGCACACAGGATTGAACGAATTTTGGGCCTGCCCATGCGCGGGCAAGGCACTCCCTATATTTTTTTTCATTTTCGTTTTTTATTTTCTGTTTCTCTTTTATTCAATGTTAAAATAATTCAGGATTACAACAAGTTCTTAAATTTCGAAAAAATTCTGATTTAAAAAAATGTTCGTTATTTAAAGAAGAGTGAACAATTTTTGTTTTTAGTGAACATTTTTAATTTTGCAGAACAACTTTTTATGAGCATCTTATAATAATGATTACAATTTTTTGTATTTGATGAACAAATTTTGTATCCAAGAATTTTCTTTTGAAAAACTGATGAACAAATAATTTATTTCAAATAATAAAATTTTAATTCAATGGAAACAAAAATAAAAGAAAAACGAAAAATAAAAAAGTCAAAAAGATAAACCGGTAGAGAAAACATAAAAAGAATCCGATCTTGGGAAGGTTCCGAAAACCGCTGGCAAAATAAATCGCAAAATGGGCCGCCCATACGCTG